GCCAGGGCGGGGCGGGGCGCCAGCGAACCCCCCGCTGGCGGGCATGCTGCTCCTTAGGGCGTGTTGGCCGGGCAGCACCCGGCCCGAGCTCCGAAGCTCAAGAAGGATGGGGCGCCACGAGGAAATCCCGGGGCGGTTGGCCAAACTGATCTGAATCGGTCTTTGCTTGCCCTGCCTCGCGCCTCCAGGTCCGCTGCACGCTGACTGGCCACGAGCTGCCTTGCCGGTTGCCCGAGCTCCAAGCCTTTACGGCTGGGAAGAAGTACCTGCGGCTGAGCAAGGTCCCGGGCGTCTTGGACTACAGCGAGTACGAACCGCACATTGTGCCAAGTACCAAAAATCCGTACGTGCCGGGCGTTTCTTACTGTCTTAGAAAGCCGCCGCCGGACTCAGTGGCCGTTGCGTTTGCTTTCCGTATTTAAGAACGCTGCATTTCGGTCCAAAGGGTTCCTCGAAAAGGTTGAAGGTTGAGTTTATTTTGCTTTCATCAGAGGCAAATGAGAGGAGGAAAAGGCAAGGAAGGAGGCTTGAACGGTAAAACCGAACCTCAGCTTAAATTTGAACAATCTGCTTCAGAGCAAGCCATGTTATACATTAGTGAGATGGGTTTATGGTGGAATTTGGTGGGTGGTTTGTTCGGCTGTGGCATAGCCTAATGCACACGCCTGCTCCGTAGCGTGATCCGGTTTCCTCTCTGCACTTCGATTGCATGCCAGAAATAGCATCCTGGGATCGCAACCTGCAGAATTCCCAGCCAGTTTAGAAGGTGAGGTGGTTGAGCGACTGGGCCTGTAAGCCCGTATTCATTTAATACTCAATCTTCCCGCTCACTCCTCCTTTTCCTAGCAATCAGCTCTTCTGCAAACTTACCCTGCGCCATCTCAACAAGATCCCGGAGCACGTTCTCCGTCACGTCCAAGGCCGGCGCTATCAGAAGGCGCTCCGACGATGTAAGTTGCCGCTGAGCGGTTTTTCCAGGCCTGCGTCAGTTTGGCTCCTGCCGTTCAGATTTCTCAGAGCTCCTTTCGCAAAGCCCCAAACTGGATACCTGTTTGGCCAGCCCGGTCAAGGAACGTGCCTTGTGGTTGCCGTTCCACTGTGGGGAGAAGCCACTTTTTGCTTCCTCTGCCTTCTAAACCTACTTTGATGCTGCTTCTGATTTAAAAGGCAGAGGGGGATAATGCTTTCCTCCAAGGGGAGAGAAGCAGGAAAGGGGGCTGGGTATTGAAGGGTAGACTGCCCTGGACCCACAGGTTCTGCTTGGCATCGGTGGATTGAAAAGAAGGTCGGCAGGGCAGATGGGGCCTGGAATCCTCCCTTCTTGCTTGGGTCCTTCTCTCTCTGAAGGAGCTGCCTTTTCCCTTTGCAGTTGAAGAATGCCAGAAGGAAGGGCTGGAGTACGTTCCGGCGTGCCTCTTGCAGAAGCGGCGAAAGCTGCGGCAAGAAACAGACAACAGCCTTTGGGAAGGGAAGGGGAAGCCTAGGCAGAGAGGGGCATTTTGGGAGCCTCCCCCCAGCGATGAAGGTGCCAGTGACACAGAGGATAGCCTGAGCGACCTGTACCCAGGTAAGTGAGCCAGAAGGCCAAAGGGTCATCCTGAAGTTAGGATGTGAGCTGTGACTTAGCTGGTCCTGAGTTTGCTGTTTTCCTCTTCCCGCCCCATTCTGTTTCCTCATCTGTTCTGTTGTACGCTTAAGGGAAAGCACTCCCTCATCGCTGATATTTGTAATTGGCTCTGGGAGAGCCTTGTCCGCTAAAGAGCAAGCTAAAAATGTTTTAAACTATGAAGCAAGCAGAGATTCCAGGCTGGTCTGTCCATGTCTCTTCCCTTGGCATCTTGGTCGGAGACTGTATGCTTCCTGGCGCAATCCTTGAATATTGTTCAACCTTGTTCTGAGGAATGGGAGCTTGCTCATTAACATAGCTACCTATCTTCTAGAATCATAGCTGTGCTCTAAGGTATGTGCCACAATGCTTTGCTATGGAGGCGGAATCAAAAAGGACAGTTTTGACGTTAATTTTAAGTGTTTATTTTCAAAGCTAAACTCTTCCCAGAAAAAAGTGCCACCAGCAAGGAGACCCCCAGTGACTTTATGAGCGACAGCGATGAAGAGGTTGCGAAGCCAGTTGTGGAAAATGGTAGCTTGGCCGAAGCGATGGAAGTCGATTTGCAGGCAGGCACGAAAAGGAGAAAGGTAAACCTGACAGCTTGAAGGTCATGGTTGGGTTGGTGTTGACCCTTAACTAGGTTAAGACTTAGGAGATGCATCTGCTGAGCTTGGTTCATTTTAAGCCCTGCTTGAATTTGGGGTATATTCTGCAAACCCAGAAGCTGGGAACCACATTTGGTGAGCGAGGCCCAGGGATTGAAAAGTTCCTCCCCACTGTGATTGGGCATTGGGCAAAACCTGACAAGCATAGACAGCCCAACTAAAACCAACCTTCACCCCATGCTCCAACATCAGGTTGAAGCTGGGTAACACTGGAATATCCAGGAGGAACGGCTCCCCAGTTTTCCTCTATGAGAGTTAACTTGATGACACAGCAAGTGGAGAGGGCTGAGATTGTGGGATGTGCCTCTACGGATGTCAAGGATGGATAATTCTCCACCACTTCTCCCTGCATGTAGAAAACTAGTCTACCAGAAGTACATTCTCTCCTTTCTCTCTGGCATGATAGTTTTCTAAGTTGGGGAATAGTTTATGGGGAGAAAGACTGACACATAGGAAGCAGTGCTGTTCAGGATTTTGTCCTAAACTACTAACACTGGACCTAGATTAGATATTACTTACACTGCATCCTTTTCTGACCTGTTGGAAATGGCGGTCCCATTCCTTCACACTGGTATGCCATTTATGTATTAACAGTCATCGCTGTTGGCCAATTCTCCAAGCATTAGTTCTTGTCCAAGTCACCGTTAGCTGTTGACATGCCCTAGGTTTTGCAGACTTCAAATAGCCCTCCTTACATTCCCAAGAGTGTTCAGGTGAGCTAGAAGGCCTCTTCTGGCAGCAAGATGTTTCTGGCGCAAGTTGTGACACCTTCCTGTCGCTTCATTTTGAAAATCAGCTGAGCAGGGGCAGCATATAATTCTAAACGTTACCAAAGTCCTTTTCTTTAGTATGGATAAGTAAGCAACATATGGCACAATGTCTTTGCCCTACAACGATGAAGCCTAGAAACTTAAAAAAAAATTCTGTACAAGTTTCCGCTTACCATCTGCTTATGTGGCCTTTTTTCCTTGTTCGTCCAGAAGCAAGCGGGCCCTCGCAAGAAGAAATTCAAAAGGTGGAACAGAAAATCTAAAAAGCTTTGGAAAAACAGTTAACAGGAATCAAGTCTTTCTCTTGGGTCAAGCTCCAATTTGTTTAATGTGGCAAGACTACCATTGGAACTCAGCGTTGCATTCTCTTTAAGCGTGGTCCTTACTTTCTTTGGAAAAACTCTATATGTGTAGTTGTATTTCATTTATATAAAGTTGTTCAACTCTAGTATATTACTGAATTCTTTGCCTGATTGTTGGGGGCAAAATTGCCATGAGCAAGTATAGTATGTCAGAATCTAAAATCTTTACGCAACTGCAAATTCTGCTTGCCAGTAGGCACATAATAACTGCCGATGAAGGCCAAATGACTTAATTTTTCTGCTAATGGATTTCTTAGAAAGAGGCAGCCCAGGTGGATACATTCCTCTTCTTGTTTCAAAATTGTTGTAAACAAGAGTCCGTGCTAACAAAAATAGGGTGGACCGCCGCTCGATGGCAATTGCCTGCTTTCTAAATGAAAGGTTACATGTTTGACCTTGGAGTTGGAAAAGGAAGCGCCACAAAATGTTTTCAGCTCAAAAGTTGTCCCACCTCCACTTTCCAGTGCAACTGGATTAGCAGTTTGAAAACTTGTGTGCGCGCCATTTGGAGAGGTAAAAGGTCTCTGCCTAGAGAGATGATTCCAGGGAATGGGGACAGTTGGAGCTGAAGAGACCAATTAGTCAACTTCTAGCTAATGCAGTTTTGGGCTCTAGAATGAAGCATCCCAGTTTGAGCTGAGTTTGGAGGTAGGTGTGACTTCTGACAGGAGCCAGCTTGCTCACATTTCTGCTCATGGTGCAACCATGGTGTAGCTTATGGTGCAACCATCTTCTCCAAACTCATAGCCTTGAAATACACTTCAAAAGCTGTCAACGCCTCAGCAGTGTTAAGATGTTCCTCTTCTACCCTATGAGCTTGAATCAGAATGGGGAACCCACAGCTCTTCAAGCTCCTAGCCAGCGTGTGCAATGGGATGGGCGCTAAGGATCAATCTAAACATCATGGGGACAATCCACAGACCAACTTCAAAAATAAAGAGCGATGTACTCAATGGCTCAACCAGTACGCTGTATATGTAGTCTTGTGTTAATGCAACCACCTGTCATGGGGCTACTGAAAATCTACTGAACTGTAAAACTGCCATCATGTTCCCTTTTTGACCCCAGTTCCTGAGTTGCGCATAGGAGATATTTCATCTGCTAATCGCTTTGCAGCCAGGCCGGTGTCAGAATGCCGAAGCACTTCCTTATTCAGTGGAAATCCCTACCGAGGAAACGGCTGAAACATTTGGTTCGAGGGAGCGTTATAAATGGCACCGCACCGACGTTAAAAGATTCAATAGGTGCAGGATATTTTCAGTCTTATTTTAGTAAGCAAATCCATATACAATATAGTATAGTTGAGCTATTCGGCACAGAGACAAGAGGTTCCCTCTATCTTCACCTTAGGCAAAGTATTTTATATTCTCCACCTCTTTTTTTTAATAAAGTTGCCCAGCATACAATTCCTTTACCTTTTGTTGCAGGAGGTATTTCCTCATGTGGCTGGAGAGAACTTTTTTTGCTCCTGCCTGTCCCAGAACAACTATTTTTGAGTGCTGCAATACTGTTAAGAATTCTCTCAACTCTCTCAGAGTAACCACTAGATTTATCACTTGGATTGTCTGTTCTCCATCTGGGATGTGACTTCATTTAATTACAACTTGAATGTAAACAAAACCAAAAATATAAGATGGAACACCCATCACACTGAAAATACACAGCAAGGCATCTGATCACAGTAGTTTAAATTTAAAAAAACAACCCCATTGTCAAAGAAATTAAACGTGGCAGTCCCAGCAAGTCAGGTTTTTCATTCCAATTTCAGGAGATTATACAAGAGAACAGTGATAGGAGGCAGGTGTTCTTGAATGAAGAACGATCTGGCATGGTATCAGATTATCAGCGCAGTCGTGAGCTAAAAACAATTGACTTAAAAAAAAAAAAAGATTGTGCCTTTAAAAAGGGAAAGTAGGCACCTCTAAATTGTTGGCAGTTCTGTTTTTATTCCCCATAGTGTGAGTCAGTTCCCAGATGCTGAGACAATGTGTTGTTCTTCCTCCTCCTCTACCACTCTTTTTTCTTCTCATCCATGGAGACACCACCAGGACCCAGGGCCACCACAAGGAGCAGGCCTCCGATGACAGACATGGTCTGGAAGAAGTCGTACTTGAGGAAGTCGTGCATGGGCTTGTACACGGGGACAGTCCAGAAAGCATTGAAATAAAGGTTGATGGCAAAGAGCCAGATGACCAGAGTCAAGGCCGCCAACTTGGTTTTGAAGCCGATGGCCACTAAGATGATCAGGGCTGTACCCACGATGTTCTGGAGGATCTGCGGCAACCAGGAAGAACAGAACATGAACAGGAGCCGGGCAGAAATGGAACCTGAGCTAACCCAAGAAGGCTTTTATTTCCATCGGTGTTTTCCAACTTTGCCAACTTCCAGATGTGTGGGCTTCAGCTGTCCCAATCCAGTAATGGCCACGCTTGCTGAAGGATCATGAGAGTTGAAGCCCCAGCACATCTGGCCTTTGAGGACTATGTTGACTGGGCATTCTAGGGTACTTCCTCAGCTAAGATGGCAATGGAACAGGCATGAAAGAAATCAGCAGCAGGGTCAGGCAAGAGCATACTTTGGCACTACTCAGTCTAAATAAATCCTATAAAAGAGGAACACAAGCAATTCTGATTTAATGCTGTTTCCTCCCCTGACTTTACTAAAACTTTTAATAGGATTTATTAGGAAGATTCCTCACAAGTTGAGATACTTGCCTGGCAATGGTAAGTCATGCCTTTATCATTGCTTGGGTGGACTAACGCAAGGCACTCTTCATGGGGCTGCCCTTGAAGACCACCTGGAAGCTGCAACGGGGGCACCATAAAGCAGTCCATATATTAGCTGGCGCTTGTCATTGAGCACACCATACCAGTGCTATGGGCCTCGTGTTGGCTTCCAGGTACAATTCAAAGGGCTGGCTTTGACCTATAAACCCTACATAGCTTGGCATCTAAGCACCTCTCAGACCACCGACTCCAACCAGAATCAGCCCCCGATTCCATTTGCCTGAGAGATGCTAATTGTTTCCCATGCCAGTGAAAGAGGGGAGCTGAGGCCCAGGGACACTGCTTTTGATGGAACAGCCTCTGATTTCAGAAGATGCTGAAAATAGCTCTTCCACTGAGCATTTGTTGAATGGGTTGACATCATCTGGGGGTCCTGTTGGATTAGTTTATTGTTGTGAACTCTGTTCTGACTGTTTTTGATATGCCTACTCTTATCATGGATGAATCTGTTTATCTTGCGGATGTTGCTAATTATGGCCTGCCTGAAGAAATGCAGCAGTACGGGAGCCCAGTAAATAAATAAGTTCAGTAAATAAATAGGCACTTACCGAAAAGAAGCTAACATCAAAATGCAGCAGGGTCATAAACATGAGGACGAGCAGCACTCGTCCCCCCAGCTGCATGTATTGTTTCGGGGAACTTTCCCGCATGGTGGGTACGCCAGCAAACATGCTTTTTCCTTCTGACCGAGACTCGGCCAACAGCAGTAGCAAACCCCCTCCAAGGGCAAGATTTCTGCAGGAAGAGAAAGAAAGACATCAAAAAGACGTGTATCTGTCCAAACCGTAACGTTCTGCACAACCCAAGTTGCAAAATCTTGGCACCAGTGTAAACTAAGACGCGTACAAAGATGAAAATGTTTCAAGATGACATTCCACATCCTTCTGGATTTTCCTGGCTTCTTTTTGGACCACTTTAGTGTCATTTTGACAGGCAAGGCACTTAAGTATTGCTCCATTATTGGGGCCTGTGTTAAAATATAAACAATGACCCGGTGCCCATAATACACTGAACTAGGTTGATGGAGGCCAGTCTTGTATTGTGGAACCATCAAAAAAGAATTAGTTGACCAGTTGATCCCAGACAGACTCATCCAGTTATGTTGCAGGATCATTTGAACTTAATACACTAATTAACCTCCCCCCCACAAAAAATAAAATAAATCTGGAAAGAAAGCACAGCTGGAAAGGAGACCTTCTACTTTGGAAGCCATACCTATTGCTGCCTGTTGAAAAGACTTACAGGATACCTGGAAAAAGCTGATGCAGACTCTGTTTCCTAAATGGTGATTTATTTATTTATTTATTTATTTATTTATTTATTTATTTATTTATTTATTTATTTATTTATTTATTTATTTATTTATTTAGGGCCAG